AACATTTTGAGGGACAGAATGGCTTTTATGCAAAGAAGTAAAATGAAGGTTAAATTCTACCTCTGAGAGAAGTCTGTGCTGAGATGTCAGCAGGAGGGATGGCAATGATAGCAAAGGAAGAACGTGGCAGGTGAGGTCTTAGGGAGAAATTTATATGGGGAACACCAGAGAGAAAATTAGTTGACGGTGAAACAAATTCACAAGTCAGTAGGAAGGAGTAGGTGTGGAAAAAAGAATAAAATGCTCTTCAGTGAGATACTGCAAGTCGTACTGCAAGGACGTGGATGTCTGTAAGAGACATCTTTTGTTAAGAAGGGTATTTCATTTGAATAAGATGAGATTTGGGATGGGGAGAAAGTCATTGGCAAAGATGCAGAGGAGGAGTCGCCGTGTGGGTTCCTTGTGGTTCAGATGTTCCAGTGTGATTGCTCCAGTCTGAGAGCAGCACCATTTCATCTGTAAGAAGGACCAATTTGGAGAAAAATAACTTGTCTTGTAAAATAGGCTATAAGATTCTATGTGGGATGAAAATGAGGTGTTTGAAGCCTGACAACAGAAGGTAACCTTCACAGTGCAGTAAGAAATGTTTAATTTACTGAGAAAATTTTGTAGTGATGAGTGGGTTTAGAAAAAGACCCGTGAACATTTGTATTCTACATCCCATTTAAACATTGCTGAAGAACCTCATACTATTCTGCTGAAGTTGGGTTTGGAAAAATTGTCAATTGGCCCAGAGGGCTTTTTTGATTCTTGATTTAAAATACTATAAAATTTTCAACGGGGCTTTGAGATGATTCTGTTGGGACAGAGATGATCTCTACTCTAGACACGCTGAGGTGAGCATACTGCCAGCCTCTGAGCTAGCAGTTAGATGGAGAGCTTCTCACTGGGCAGTTTCTGTCTGAAATTTACTTTTGTCCATCTGTGGAAGCGTCTTGGCTGCCTTATTTTCAGAGCAGCCACGAAAACCCATTTGTCCTTCTGATGCAAGTCTCATAAGGACAGGTGAGGTGTGTCGTTCTGCAGCCACGGTTTCTGGCCTAGGAGGAGAGCTGGTCCTCTGCATTGAAAGCATGAGGGAGCAATGTGGGCAAAGCTGTAATGCGTCCTGGGACCCCTTCTGGAAGCCTGCTTATAAACCTCATAGAGGGAGAGCACCACCCCTGCTGACCTGGCCACCTTTGCACAGGGCGCACAGAGGGAAGAGGCGCAGCTCAATGGGCAGCACAGTGCAACACTGTCATTTTGTGGGTGCTCAACTTGAGCGTATCAGACACTTGAGCCTTCTGGTTTTAATGCGTATCTGAGCAGTGGGATATGGAGCTTGCCTAACAGGCATTGCTCAAGCTGTCTCTACCCAAATACTGTACTTCAAAGAGAAGCCTTCTTATGCAGTCATTTCCCATAATCTTTTCAGTGCTGCAAGGCAATATATGTCAAGAGATTTCCTTGTATTAATCTAAATAGAATTCTTAATTATTGAGACAACTTAGTCAAGTCAAAATAAATTTAATGGCTTGTGTTTAATATTCTTGTTAGACTCCTTATGAATCAGGCATAAATGATGGAAAAAAAATTCAACTAAGCATATGTCAGTAGTAAATAATAGAAACCTGGATCGCACCCAAGTCAGGTCCTAAACTGATTAATACAAGCGACAGGCTGTAAGTCTTCCCTGCAGTCTGATGGTTTTAAGACTTGCTGATACCAGTGCAGGATGCACAATGATGTATTTCAAAAGCTGAGACCAACTTCTGGCAAAGCTGATGTGAAATCAAAACTTGTTAGCATATCTTGACAGCCTGCATGCTACTTATCTTTAGATATTGTTTGATGATAAGTATTCAGTGCTTGTAGCGTTTTCCCAAAGTGCTGACTGTGGGTGAAAGCAGACCAAGGCAGAGCAAGATGTGCTTTTTTTAAGTGCTGAAGGATAAGCTGAGTTGTAAAATAACATCACTCGTTAAGGGCTTGTTGTGCAACACAGCAGTGCAGGATGTGGGGGATCGCAGTGCCCCCAGTAAATGTGTGACAGAAGGAGGTTTTCCTTTGCAGTCTTCTGGCTGTGAGCCTTACAAATCTGCTCGCTTGGTGTTTTCCCTTCATGAGAACCTCGTCCATGGTACAGAGAGTAAGCATTGCCCTTGAGCATCACAACCACGTGGATCAGATGGGGTAAAAACAAGCCCTGAAGAAATTAAATGAGAGGTTCAAGGTCAAACAGCGTGTTTCTAGACAACTGCAAATGGCTCCAAGTCTTCACATTCTCCCCAGGCCAGGAGGATCAGCCTACAGCCATCCCTGCTCCCTTGCAGGGCTGCAGCTCCCCACATCCACCTGCGGTGCTTACATAGCAGCGTAATCAGCAACATGAGTCTCTCTCTTATTTCTTTATTTCAAGAGATAATTAGTCTAGCAAGGCTGATTATGTGATTGCTGTTGAAGTAGCTTAGTGGGATTGCACTGCATTTTTTGTTGTTGATGTTTCCTCTCTTCAGGTACCTGCTCTAACAGCTCCCCCGTGCTCTGTTTCCAAGCTATATCTACAAATGGTCTTGACCAATTTACTTTCACTTAATTATTGCTGTAATTGCTTAGATGGATTAGGAGAAAGCAGCTTGTGATCTATTCAGATTCTAATAACTCCTTTGATCTTATCTCATTCAGTTTTCCATTAAAAAAACAAGTCCCAGTTGGGTTGACAGAACTTCCCCTTCCACCCCCACACCCTTTGTGGCTGTCTGAAAGATTTTAAATGAAGGCATTGCTTGGGACTGGGGAGGCTTTGTGACAGAGGGTTGCCAGAATCAATGGCAGGACTTTATTCATGTTCAGTGCTGATCAGAAAGCTGTGTTAAATGCGACACTGTCATCTGCAGATGCTGTTAAATTGAATGACATTGCAGCACCAATGAAAAGAGAAATGTGAAAGGCATCTGTGAGCATTACACAAATGAGTGGACTAATTCATTTTGGAAAAAGTCAAGAGCGAGGGAGCACTTCTGAAGGAACATTGCCACCCATAATACTGCACAGAGATGAGAAAGCCCAGGGGAAGAAATGCTGTCAATGGATGTCTCTCTGCAGACCAGATACTTTTTCTCCATGTTCTGGCTGTGAAAAAGCCACTGTAATGATGGTGTCTGTGTCTGAAAAGACTCTTTCCCGGGCAGGGCTCCTTTCAAGCGGGGGCTGTGTATGTCCCAGTGCTGGTGCAGGCAGCATGGCAAGGACAGGTGCTTGCTTTGTGCATTGCTTAGCATCTTTGTGGAGTTTTCCATCTGTTAAACAGCAGTGATACCTGACTTGGCTGGAAATGGTGGGATTTTGGCTTTGGTGCTTAAAGCGAGGCTGTGCAGAAAGACCACGATTCCCAGTCTGTCATAAAGCAGCACTGCTTCATAATTCATTGCAGAGGGTGCTGCCTATTACCTGTGTTTCCTTCCTTAGAAAATTATTTTTGAATAAATGCAATGCTTTCCTGCAGATGTACACAAAGGTGTCCCTCACTCCCACAATTGAATGACAAATTCAGACTTAATTCATGTTAAACACTCTGTATACATACAGCATTGCAGTGCTAAGGCTGCAGGCTTGCAAAAGATACTGCCCACAGATGACAGGAGATGATGATTACAGAAGAAGTGTTCTGCTCAGAACACCCCTGTTAATGTATCTTTCTTATCTCCAATTCTTCCTTTCCCTAGCATCAAAATAAAAAAGTTCCTTTTGGTTGACCTGGAGTCAATAATAGAGCATACATTATTGTATGTTATCAGTAATCATTAAAGAATAACCACGCTTATTAAAGCATTGATCCACTTTGTTAATATGAAGACAAAGAGCAGTACAGGCACGTAACACAGCCCCCGTGGGATCTGAGAAGCATTTCCATTTAGCTGTGGCCAGCTGGCTGCAAACTGTGTCACGGTGAGCAGCAGCCATGGGGTAAAATTTCTATATGGATTGAGAGCTTTTTGTTCTCAGCACAAATGCTTGGTGAGGAATTCTGTGAAAGGAAGAAGATAAATGTGAGAAGTCAGGCACGTGCCTTGCAGTGTTCTTAGGGGTGGCTGGTGAAGCCTCCCTGTGTTAGCAGCAGTAGAGGGTAACTTGTCAGAACTCAAGTGTGGTCAGATGTGGGGCTGCTTGCATGTGCTGGAGTGGCTGAGTGCATTTTCTGTGGTATTTTCTATTTCTTTTGGTGTCTGCTGTTGATTAAATTTCTAATCAACTGCAGTGTTCCTGGAAGATTTTAATTACATTTGCTCTTTCTAGGATGTTTTGATATCAAATGAACTTTCAAAAAGCCACTGTCATCTTCCAGAGAACAAAAACCAAATTGTAATTCTGCCTTACAATCCCAAGCTCAAATTTCACAGCTGCAAAGAAGCAGCTTCATAATGAGGAGCCAGTGCAATATGCAGGAGCCCCGGGCAGTGCCCACACCATAGAGCTGGGAGTAGGGCTGCTGTGTGTGCAGCATTGCTGAACTTGGCACCAGCATAGACTGAAGCTAAGAAATACAAGGAGCTCACCGTGCGAGGATATTCAGCAACAGGATGTTAGCAGTAGCACCTCAAAGCAACTTTGGTGATATTTTTCTTGCTGCTAGCTCAATTCACAAATCGTGTTTATCTGCATATATGCCTAACTTTGAAGAAGCTTGGTGTAGTGGTGTAACAGGGATCATAGACTCATAGAATGGCCTGGGTTGAAAAGGACCACCATGATCATGTAGTTTCAATTCCCCTGCTATGTGCAGGGTCACCAATCACCAGACCAGGCTGCCCAGATGAAGCATCCACAACTTCCTTGGGCAACCTGTTCCAGTGCATCACTGCCCTCTGAGTGAAAATCTTCCTCCTAATATCCAACCTAAACCTCTCCTTTCTCAGTTTAAAACCATTCCCCCTTGTCCTATCACTATCAACTCACTTTGGGGATGCTGTACTGAAGAATTGTACTGTTCTGAAAAGGCTACAGTGCTGAAACATGAGTGAGAAACACAGCATGCTTCTGGGAATCCGTATTATAGATGGAGCTGTAGTTTTGGTTCACAACTTGACCACACGTGTTTTGTTAGTGCTGTTGTGAGTGCCAGTGTATGGTGGTGGAAATAAAGTAGTGATTCTACACCATGCCACAGGAACAGAAGAGGGAGAAAGCGGCATGGGTAGGGACAGCAACGCCATCAGCCTTGTCAATAACACCAAGACATTTTATTTTCTGAACGTACTTTTATTTTCTCTCCAAACAGCAGGCTGGGAGGCAGATGTTGGCCGCCCAGCCCCCTGGAGGCGTGCTTTGATGGCAGTGGGACGAGGCCTAGCGCCGTCGTCGGGGCCGCCTCTTGCGGGGTGGGGGCGAATCCTGGGGGCTGCTGCAGGCCTTCCTCTTCGGGGCGCGCCGGGGCCCCCCACACGAGCGGTCTCTGCTCCGGATGGAAGGGCCCGCAGCTGCTGCCTGCCCTGGCTCTTCCTGCGGCTCCTCTGCTGCGGTGGCGGTGCCGGGGAGCCCAGGTCCCCCAGTGGAGCCGCTGAGAAGCTCCTCGGTTCCAGAGGCAGGAGGATGTTGAGGGGAGGTGCAGATGTTGGGGCTGGCTGCAGGGCCGTCCTCCCGCCCTCGTGCAGCACGGCCGTCCTGCTGGTCCAGCTGGCGGCGGATCAGGGGGCCATACAGGGCTGCGGCGATGCTGATGAGGTCCTGCACAAAGGGCACGATGTCGCCGTGGGTGATCACCTGCAGCTCTTGTACCAAGGCCGCCTGGTCGAGCCCGTGCTCGCACAGTAAGTTCACAGTGGCCCACAGTCCGACTTGCACCTCCCACCATTCACCGCCGGACATTGCCCGGATCTCCTCTTGCAGCCAGAAGAGCAGGGGTGCGAGGTCTTCCTGATGTTGACAGAAAAACGCAGCCCAGACCTCGGCAGGGAAGTTGTGCTCCGGTGGAATGAGCTCCGGCTCTGCAGGCACTGGCTCTGCAGGCACTGACTCTGCAGGCCCCTGCTCATCCTGCAGGCCATCATCTGAGTGTCCCGTGGGCTGCGGGATGGGACACTCAAGATAATCGTCATCCGCCCTCATGGAGTAGCGGATGGTGATTATTTTGTGCCCACATACGGCACAAGTCGGTTTCTTCTGGGCCCACCAGATGGCACAGCCATAGCAGAGCTGATGCTGGCAGGGGGTCACATGGGTGACATCCTCCCGAGCTTGCCCGCAGACGGGGCAGGTCCAGTTGGATGGCACGTCCATGGTCCCGGGCTCTGCGGTGGGCTGGGGAGACCTGAGGTTGGGAAGCTGCTCCCCTCACTGGTGCTGCAGCAGGCAGAAGGTATTACAAACTGCAAAAGAGAAAGAGAGGCCACGGTCGCTTGCTGCCCCAGGGGCAGGCAGCAGTGATGCCCCCCCCCGTCCCTCAGCAAGAAACCCTCCCGGTCCCTTTTCTCCACCAGCTGCTGCAGGGGCCACGTCCTGCACCTCTCACCTCTGCTGCTGCAAGTGCACCTTGCAGAGCCCCAGCTGCCTGAGCCAGGCAGGGCTGGGGGAAACGCTGGTGATGCTGTGGGATGGGCAGCAAGAACTGCTGCCAGTAGCCCCACAGCGCAACACAACCACTTGGTTCAGTGCTCCAAGTCCAACAGCTACGCTCAGCTGGAGTCCAGGCACGAGTGCACGCTGGCCTCTGCTGGCACCCAAATGGATACAGCAAGGGCTGTTGAGGTCACAGTTGTCTCTCGTTGCTGTCACAACCCCTCGGTCGGTGACCTCACAGTCCATCACTGCACGTATTGGGGCACCAGCCTGGGCTTTCCTCACCCTCTGTCATTCCATGATTTTCCTTCGTAATGGCAATATACTTGGAGGAATAAAAATTGCACATGTTTCTACTGCACATGTAACTTGTAACCAACTTGTCATGAGGTGGTGCCACAAGACAAAGCTAGGCAGGTTCAACATGCAGCAATGGATGCCGCTGCGGTTGGCCTGAGGGCCAGCTCCTCAAAGTCCCTGCCTGCCCGCCCTGCGTGGATGATGGACTGCGTGCCTTGCTTGCAGAGCGGGCACTGGGGCCTGCTGCTCGTCCACCGCTGGATGCGGTGGAAACAAACCTGGTGGCAGCATGGCACAGTGTATGCCACGCTGTCCCAGTTCTCCAGGCACAAGGGGCAGTGGGTGCCTAAAGCTGCTTCCACACTTCCACCAGTTGCAGTGGGAATGGAGGAGTGGGAGATGACAATTTGCTCCCCGACACTGATGCTGGGGCAGCGGGTGTCACATTGCAATAGGACAAGAGACCCCACGGGCACCGACCAACCTGGGGAGGGTTCCTCAAGAGGCATCCCCCCAGCTGCCAGCGTGAGGCATTGCCACGCTGCCTACCTGCACTGCTGCACGCGACTCTGAACAAAGTCCCGTCCGCCTGCTCCCAGCAGGGTCAGGGTACGGCACAAGTGGCTCTGAGACGGCCGCTGAGAGCTGCGCTGGCAGCACCCAGAGCACGTTCCAGCTCCAAACTCGCCCTGTTGCGCTCCGGTCCTCGCACACACGCTCGGTCCGATGCCAGGCACGAACTGATCGGCTGGGCTGCCGCACCCGCGTTGCAGCAGGGTGGGCTGAGCAGTCACAATCCACCGCACAGCGATGTCACAAAGGATCACTTGGCCCTGTTGCCAGTCCTCACCTTCACTCCGGGTCATCACCACCCGTCCCACAGTGATGCCGTCATCCATGGCTTGGTCATCACAATGAGCCTCACCTGCTGCACGTGTGCCAGCAGCACTCAAGCCCCAGCAGACGTTTCTGGGCCTTCCCCTGCACCTCTGCTTGCTTGCCATCAGTGTTTCACACCAATCACCGGTGCATGGGACGTCTTCTCACGGTCCCCATCGGGTTGCTCAGGCCATGGCACGCAGCCCCAGGCATGTACAACAGGAAGGTTTATTCAATAAAAGGTCACACTTCCCTCTGGCTCTTGGCCTTGATGATTCTAGAGGTCTTCTCCAGCCTTAATGGTTCTAAGAGGTTTGGCCTCTTCTCCCAGGCAACGAGCAAGACTCGGGGAAATGGCCACAAGTTGTACCAGAGGTTTAGGTTAGACATGAGGAAAAACTTTTTCTCTCATAGAGTGGTCAGGCACTGGAATGGCTGCCCAGGGAGGTGGTGGAGTCGCCGTCCCTGGCAGTGTTCAAGAGGCATCTTGATGAGGAGCTGCGAGATCTGGTTTAGTGCTTGTGGTAGCAGTGGTGATGAGAAGATGGTTGGACTAGATGATCTTGTAGTCGTTTCCAACCTTGTGATTCTGTGATTCTATGATTCTGTGACTTGTCTGTGGAGACAAACTCAGCTAGTTGGAAAGGGTGGGAGCCTCAATCCGAGCTTGTTGGCTTTGTGCTTTGTATCCATCTTCTGTTTCACAAGCCCTGAAATCTGTCAGTTAGAAATGCAGTTATCTGGGGAAAAGAAATTTGCTGTAAAAAGAAATTTTGTCTGTTTATTTAAGGAATAATGTCAGCCTTGCTACCTGCAGCCCTCCTTTGTTCCTGATAAAATCACAGAGCTATGCTGCACATTGGGCAGCTCCTTATCTCTGTCAGATGAATATTTGTCATTGTTTTCTTGAAGGTCTTAGCATTTGTTCTCAGAAAGTTTCCAGCTGGATTTCAGAACACAGCTGAGATGCATGATACAACCTGTCTAAGCTTGCTGAGTAGTTTTTTTTCAGAGGTAAGATGAAGCACTTTTAGTTTTTCACTTTGTGACAGATTATCAAAGAAACAAATGCTGGTTTTAGTTCTTGTAAATGCGGCAGGCTTTGTTGTTGTGTGTGTGCAGTGAAGAGTGCAAGGTTCTGTCTGTTATTTACTTGTTGATGCTTTCGGCTCAGACTGATGGGTGTTGTGAGAAGTAACCCAGCACATGCCTACTGCATAGCAAGCCAAGCTGGAGAAAAAGCAGGTGGCAGCTTTGGAGCCCGAGTAACAGCCCATCTGCAGGAGCAGTCCTATCCTGATGGGCATGTTGATCCCAGCATCCCAAGGCCTACAGCAGTCACCAGCTCATAACCAGCAAGTCCAAATATTTTACAGTTAAATCACTAATAAGCTTCAGTACTACAGAAAAGCTAAGTTCTGTTGGTCAGCTCACTGGCTTACTCAGCAGCTCATCAATAGTGGAATAAGCGTAGGCTGCAGCACTTTAGATTGTAGGAAATTGATATTGCCGGCAAAAAATAGCAAATGTAAGGGAAGTATTAATTGCAGGAAATAATTGCGGTACGTCTGAGGTTGCGTTTTATCTACCTCAAAGCAGTGCTGGAGCTGTGATATAACATCTATTTAGTCTTTTCACCTCTCGAGGGAAACAATTAGAAAACATTACAACAAAAATAGTTCTTTGAAATTTTGGTGTCATGGTGATTGCATATAATGAAATACTCACTATCATTTTATGTTTGCACGCACTTGGGAGGAAAAATAGGGCTTCTTGTAGCATTACTGCTGGTCAGGGCTGTATTCCTTGGGAAGAGAGGTGCCTGTGGATGGCAGTCTTTGTCTTGGGATCTGGAGGGGCTGGAGGCGGCAGCTCTCAGTGCTCCAATACTGTCTCAGGCAGCCAACAAAAACAGTGCTTTGTGCATGAGGAGCCTCCTACACTGAGAAGGGCAAAGCAGGTCACATCAGAGACCCGTATTTATGTGACCCAGCTAGGAGTGCTTTGTATTCCTGCTGTTTTCCTGTGATTCCCTAGTTGACTTTGACTATGTAGGGGCTCTATCCAGCTTTTGTGGCTGCATTCTTGCAGGCTCACTGGACAGACAATTGCATGTGGTGTGAAAGGGAGCTGCCTGCCATGTGGCCACACTGTTTCCTCTGCTTCTACAAGGAAAAGCAGATTTTGCCCACTCAGATCCCCTTTCAGGTAGTTCAAGACTGGAACATCATCTCCGTAGGGGAAGAAGTCCCCCTCATCCACCCATAAAGAAGAGTTTTATTCACTTTCTCTCCCGAACCACTTTCATGTGAATTGTCCTATGGGCTGTATTTCTATTGCGCAATTAACCTGAGCCATCCCCACTTGTATTAATTACTATAGAATTAATTTAGCTTGTGTGAGAGTTGCTACACCACAGACTCATGTTTGAGTCATGCTGTGTAAATACATCAGCAGCTGGTGAGTTGTGTTAACATGAACTCCTGGTTGTAATCCCCAGCAGCTAATAAAACTCTGTTCCAGGCATGGAAATTAAAGGGGATTTTAGGCAGCCTTTTGAATTGAAGTAGTGCTAAGTGTGGTTTGTAGCTCCAATTGAAAAGCAGCTCTCCAACACATTGCTGCTCAGGTGGGGCTGCAGAGGGGCTGCCAGCACTGTGCTGCCCTGTGGGGTGGCTGCAGTTGGGGTGGGGAGAGCCAGCCTGGTACTGAAAGAGCCATTCCTTGCTGTGCTAAGTCAATAAGACAAAAAAATGCTGGTTTGGAGTTTAGGGGAAAAAAAAAGTCTCCAATTCTTTGAGCCCTTTAACACTAAAGCTTCCCATTCTGCTATTTAAGCTACTGCATCATGGATGTTTCTTCAGCACGTCCTTTCACATTGTTGCTCCCTCAGGTCAGTTTGCTCCAGATTCCCACATCTCACTTCTTTAATAAAGACGTAATTTTAAAGAGAATAGTTATGAGGCATTTTCTTAGCACACCATAGGCTCAAAATGCTGTCTTTTTTATCTATTAAAAATTGAAAAACACTTTTATTTATTTTTATTTCAGTAGTTTTTTAGTTTGTCTCTTCTGGAGTGAAGTTCTTGTTCTCTTGGCTTCAGAAGCACCAACCAAAAGCTCTTTCTGAAAGTATCTGACTCGTGGAATTGTAATTAGTGTGGGAAGGATAAACGCCATTCAGTACAGAATGCATTCAAGTTTCTACCCAGAAATTGCTCTGCACCTTTGAGTTATAGATAACCACATATTTTAAAGGGTAGATCACTGATCTCTTTATTTTTTGAACCGTCAAGAAAATTCAAACTCCAATAACAGCTTCACAAAGGTTTGGGTGAGTGGAGGCATCAGATCTAATTATAACAGAAGGATCAGAGGATCAAAGAACAAGGCTGAGCACAATGTAGAAAATTACTACAAAGGAAAGCTTGGGGTAAGAAAAGAAGATTGAAGAAGTTAAATAACTTGAGATTTTTCAGATACAAAAGGAACAAGAGGTGAGTGAAAAATTCAGCAGGCCTGCAAGAAGTGATTTATTGACAAAAGCAGCAGAGACTTCCAAGAAGGATTTGATGAATTCTCAGCCTTGGTGCTCACCTGGCAAGGTGGAAGTCAGAAGCTGGAATGATAGAAGTCTCCCATGAGGAGGGGAGGAAATGCTGGAGGAAGTGATACTCAGCCAGGATCAGCCAGAAAGCACCAAGCTGTGATGGCTACAGTGAGCTGCAGTAAAAGCTTCAGAAGAGACAACTGCATCCTCTGCACGTCCTTGCCATGAAGCAATGCTTCATTAACTTCAAGGGGACCAAAGAATCAAACCATTTAAAGAGAAGTGTTTAAATACTTTTCTCCTGATTTTCTTTCGTTTGGTATCTGCTCTCTCTCTTCCCGTCCACAACTTCACTATTTTGAGCTGTTGCCATTTGTTGGCCCTTCTGATTGCTCCTTCCCTCTGCTGCCTTTGGTCCTTCTTGCATTCCAGTTGTATTGCTGCCTGACTGTGGGTGAGGAGTGGCAGGGGCATGTAGTTGAGGTCCCTGCCCTCACCGCTCCTGACTTCCTATAACTTCATCCGACAGAGAGATTTTCTGCTCATCACCAAAGCAGTGAGCCCTTTTTCAGGTGCATGCATTACATGGTTCACTGCATCTTATATATGACATCCCTTTCTAAAAGCTATTGCTGTTGGTCTGGGTGTACTGATAGCGTGATTCGAAATGCATGTTTTGCTGCAGACCTCCCTTGCCTCTGTCTGGACCTGTCATTGTCACCTGTGAATACTTACATTATGCTAATCCACATCGTGTTCGTATGTTTACTGTTAATTAACATAAGCAAGGTTGCTGAATGCTGTAATTTAAATGCTAGGCACAGCTATTTTGCCTGTGACAAGAACGTATGAAAAATAATTTTCACAAATGTTTCTAATCAAGAAACAATGGAGAAATTGTTTCTGAACAGCTTAATAACAAGCAGAACGTGAGTCCCAGCATTTTAGATTTATGGTGCATTGCTTCACTAACTAGCAGCGATTTGCAGCTGGAAAGGTTTGCTTATTTGCCAACATGAAAAGAAATAAAATGATGAGGAATGCTTTTCATTACGCTTTTTTTTTTCTTTTTTCTTCTGCTATAAAATGCATCACGTTGTAGCTTTGTAACATCCATCCATTGAGCTGCCCCGCAAAGCACAGATGAGTAGGACAGCCCTTTTGGAGTTGGTTTTATCTCCAGTTCAGCTAAGCCCTGATATGGTCGTGCTCCAGGACATCCCAGCACCTCATCTCAGGTGCTTCCTCTGTGCCTGTCTACCACTGAGTTTGCAGCTTGAGAAGGGTTTGGGAGAGCTGTCTCTAACGCTGAATTCCATGCAGAGGGGAAAGATTTAAAACCGGTTCCCTGGGTGGGGGCACATTCAGCAATGCCCTGTGTTGAGCTGCAGGAGCAGGGCACAGGAGGGGACAGGACAGGAGATCTTGTGGTTGCTCTCAGAAGGCAGCAGGTAGAAGCAGCTCAGCGGTTGAAGAATGGTGGTTCAGAAACTAGGAGAGCTAAGAGCTTGTTTTGTTACCCACAGATGTGCATAGGGTCAGTGTTGTACTTTCATGAAGTTCCAGAATATGTTTGATGCTTGTTCAAATTTCAGTGCTTTATGAACGTGTCATTGTGACTTTCTCCAAAATCCCTTCTGATAGAAAATGGTCAGTCCTGGTGTGCAAGGGATCTTCTCCTTTTTCTTTCCTTTCTTCTTTTTTCCCCTCCTTCCCTTCCCATGTGTGTCTGTTTGGAGTGTCAGCCCCACGTTAGAAGG